TAAGACTCATCATCCACCCCACAGCCCTGGGACAAAACAGTGCCTAAAGAAAGAAGACACATCAAATTTTAACTTTAACGTTAATATCATTTTCACCAAGCAATAAATAAGAGTATCAAATTTAGTCTGAAACTGCCTAGGATTTCCTGAGGGAAATAACTGCAGGGACTCAGTCCCATGAGGAGCTTGGGCACCTGACACTGGAAGTTCTTTGGGGGTGTTCCTTCAGGTCTTGCTCCATGATGTCCAACATCAACACAGCTCTCAGTGGGCAAAGCCTCACAGCCCTTGGTGGCATTTCACACGTGCAGGTTGTTGTGTCCTGTCAGAGTTTGTGTATTCCCTCCATCAGGGGTTAGGAGGCACAAACATTCCCTGGGGCTAAGTGCTTGTAATTAAACACAGAGCTGAAGAAGCTAATTAAAAAAAAATGTTTTGATGATAGCTGTGTAATACTTAATAACCTTTGTGGTAGAAACAGCTGTGCAGAAAAATCTAAATTTGTGGATGCTTTCAGGAGTGTTATGTCAATACTGTGCTGACATGAGTGCAGACACTAAGGAGGAGAGAGGAATTAGCTTGGGTGGCTTTTGGGCTGTCCAGAAGAACAAGAAATCACTTTATCTTCCCCCAAGGGAGCCCTGTTCTGCATCACTGCCTTCTGTAAGCACAGGGACTATTTAAAATGTATATATAACCTTATGGTAACCTCTGGTGTGGGCATTTTGGGTGCAAAAGTTGCATATATGTGTATCTAGGCAAAACTCTGATTACCATCCCCTGGTGAGCAGCTTTCCTCTCAAGACAAAAGTGGTTTTGGCTGTTTTTCTATCTGTCTATCTATATATACACACAGACATACACACTCTCTCCTCTTTGCTCTATATGGGACCTCAATTAAATGTTAGCAATATTTGGATTCCAATCTGGTGTCAGCTCTGAGGAACCTGATCTAGTGGAAAGTGTCCCCACCCAGGGCAGAGGGCTTAGAAAAAGATTTTCTTTAAGGACCCTTCCAAGCCAGGCCACTCTGTGATTCTATGAATGAAGAGGCAGAGGTCACAGCACTGCAGATAGGGATGATTTTTGAACTAGCTCCCATTCCCCAGATTCAGCCATTTCCTCCATTACCAAATCCTCATCCCCCCACCAGTTCCTGGGACTCTGCATCTCATTGAACTCATGGAAAAAAAATATCACTTTCTCTGAGCCTTAACAGCACAATAAGTTTTCACAAACCACAGAAGTCACAAACAGATCACTGTAAGGGACAGATTCCAAACAAATATTTCAACTTCTTATGCACACAGAAAAACGGGGACAAAGAAAAATCAATAGCAATATGCTTACTAATACGTGCCTTAGCCACAGGCTGCAGCATGGGATACAATATACATAAGGTAAACATCTTCAATGCAACACAGTTCAATAAAATGATAGATATTCCAAAAATAAAGTGTCCCCAAAGAAACAGAAAACATAATATCTGCTCAAAAAAAGAGAAAATCCATGTAGCCTCAGCAGTGAGTATACTATAATACATGCCTTCAAGGCTAGCTTTGGAATAAAAAAGCCTTTGGGGAAAAAAAAGAAAAGTAAAGTTTCCTCTATTGCAGAGAGGCCAGGCAGCCCAGGGATGCTGGCTAGAAGTGTTCAGCAGTGCTGACAATGGGATACACTCCTGAATCAGGGCTGGACCAGCTCCAGAACCTGCCCCAAACCATGGGGAGGTGATGGGAGATCCAAACAGAGCCTCGGGCTCCCGATCCAGGGGCAGGAGCTTCCAAAGCAGAGTAATGCCTTCCCACAGCACAGCATCTTCCAGGAGTAAACTGTGACAGTGCAAAGCTGAAATTAACACTTAAAAAGGTACAGGTGCCATTTCCAAGAACTTTCAAAGGTCCTTGTTCCTCCTGCACTTCTCACCTCTCTTCACGGTCACCTTGGGACTAATTTCACGCAGCACTGCCAAGGTTTCACCCGATTGCTGTGTGGAAAGGAAACACAAATCCATCCTCACTGTCTGTTTGATGATCATCTGATTTTTAAAGCTATCCCCCGGTGCGTGTGATTTGTAGGGGAGGATGTGAGTTTGACAGCCACATCCTTCAATATTGCACATAAATTAAAAATATATCATGGACTTCTCAACGAAATCTTGAAGCATTTAGTCTCTTCTGGTGCAACAAGTCCAGCTTGCTTCTTTTCAAGTACCTTCCTACTTAAAACTGATATTTTTTATTCCAGCCAACTGGCAAAAGCCAGAAACTGGGAGGATGACGAATTCAGAAGCACTGGAGTTTCTGGTTGTTTAATTTTTGTTTATGAAACACTAAACTTTAGTTAAATGCAAGTGCTGAGGGCTTGGTCTAATTGCTCCATTTTTTCATCTTGCCAGGTTATTTGCTTTAATCCTGTCACCACAGTGACTTCCAGCACCTCATTATGCCTTGCAGAACCAAGTTAAAAACTAAAAGAACTTGGCCAAGGTTTCTTGAATGCTCTCTTAAGGCATAAAAAAGAAAAATAATTTATAAAAACGAGTTCAACAAAAAAAAATAAAGCAAGCCAACTCTTCATATGACTATTCTGCAAGAAAAAGTAGTCTTTGTGGCTGCAAGGCTTTTATGGAAAAATAATGTCTTTTTGGAAGGGAAAAGTTTCTTGAACCTTGAATGACTGAGCACCCTTTTTCATTATGTTAATTTAAGTGGTAAAAGGCTTGCCTGACTGACACTAATTGATGGTCCCTCCTGGGGCTTAATTGACATGAGCTTGTCTCTATAAACCTGCACCGTTAATCAGCTCCTTACCCACTCTGGAAAATGTTTGCAGCTGAAGAAGTGCCAGTGGGGGTTGCATGCAGACAACACAGACTCTAAGTGAGGATGCTTTTCAGCACTCTAGTTGTGATATTTCATTAAACTGATATTTTCCTGATTCCTTTCTAAAGGAGAAAGATCATGTCTTAGATTCATTTACTGCTGAATTTATTTTTGCTGTGGTTTGGTAAGTATTTAATTTAGATGTTAAGTGTTTCCTTTGATCTTCTGCAGTAGGCTTAGGTAACTAAATATTAAATTCTGGCTGAAAGCATCTCGAATTAGCCATGATATCAAGTCAGCCACAAGGAAAGAGTCATCTTTTGCTATACCCGTATTATTCCTGTAGTGGCATCATATTTAGAAAATACAAGGGAAAAATTGTTATTTTAGTGATAGGAACAATATCTTTTCTTCTTTTTCAGAGCCAGCACTGAATATTTTCTGAAATTTCTCTCAACTATTAAATTACACCAGTATTGAATTTCCCCAACAGTTCTGTCCCTTTCTATGAGATATTCACATTTTGATTTAGAAAATCCTTTTAAAAACCACTGTTTTAAATTCAAAATTGGCCTATAGCCACAGTTCCCTCTCCTTTCCCTGCTACCAGAGCTATTCCAAACTCCTCATTTTTAGCACATCTTTTACTTGCATTGGTTTTCCAATTTTTAAGAAATCCTGGGTGCACACAATGTAAGTCATTACCTATTAATAATGGTACAATTATTGTAAACACTGAAGATAGATGGGAATTCAGTTATTCAGATTTCTCATCTATCATGCACAAAAAGGCAACTTCATAGCATTCTCAATGGAAAGTAGGGAGAGTGTCAAGGTACCACTTTGATTTACTTTGCTGACAGTAGTGTTTGCTCACTAAAAATATCAGACAAATGGTTAAAAGAAATTTTAAAGAATAAAAAAATATTTAAAAAAATATGATCCATCATTTTCCCACCCATTGCAGATGGCAGGGATACCTGGCAGAAATGGGACCTGCTGAGTAACATCAGTAGGTGACTTACACCAAGGCAGAGGCTGCTCTAAATGTTAGAAGAGCTCTGAAAAAAAGTTTTATTCTCAAAAGATGTTTGGGAAGATAAAGCAAGACAACCTAGAATGTCCTGAAAATAATTTGGGACAAATATACACTGCAATTCCATCTCACTTTGCTTAGGCACCAGCTATAGATAAGCAGTTATAAATAACTTAAAGTTCCACAGAATTAACCCACAGGATATTCTGGGGATGTGATTTTTCCTCTTGCCCTAAGGCCATGTTCCCAGCTCCAGGGCCCCAGGTACAGCACAGCCCCCAAAGCATTCCTGCTCCACTCATCCACACCTCAGTGCTGCTGTGGAGACATTTCACTCACCCACCAATGCTCACTCCACACCACTGGTTTCCACCACTTGGGTTTTCCAAACAAACACCTTTCAAGTTTTACTCTTAGGAGCAACATTTTAGAAATATCTGTAAAAGTTCTTCACTGTTCCCCTTCCAAACTCATCATAATTCACCTGCCGTGAAGCACCTTGGAATTGTAACTAGATTTTGGAGGGGGGTTGCCTTGTGCTAGTAGATAATTCTTGCTGTAAGGTCATAGAAGATGTAGACAAGTTGATAATAATGGTAATATTTGGTAGGTTCACAAATATACTGATCTGCCTCCAATTTTATGACAGCTACCCAAGTGGGAAGAACGCAGCAGTAAACGTGGCTAAATCCATTTTTATAGACATGTGTATAAATTATTGGGATAAACTCATCAAAAGCACAGCAGGTTAAATGCTACACCAAGGGGGAAAAAAAAAATCTGATGATGTCCTAAAAACAGCAATACAAGCATGGCCTTTAAATTGTTAAATTATTTGGACAGGGAAAATTATGTACATAAAGATAAGCATGGGATGCATCCTGAATTATTTATTTCAGTTCAAGTTCTTGTTTCCTAAGAAGTCAAAGCTTGTGGGTTGCTTTGAATTTACAAGCCATAATGGGCTGACCCAATTTATACCAGCACATTGCAAGTCTCCAGAACCACTTTTCACATTGTTCATTTAACATCTCATTCTTTGAGGGCTGGATTGTTTAGCTGGCCACATGTCAAAAGGTACCATATGTTGTCAGGAAGCTTTTTTAAAGTTACACCAAGGGACAGAAAGATTGAAAAGATTTTAAGACAGGCTTGTGAAAACTTTAAATCATAAACCATTCCACAATGCATAAATCATAAAATAGTTCAGATAGCAGCCCTCAGTGCATGATGGTTTACATCTGTTGGGCAAGCAGCTATCAAAGCTATTTCATATTTCTTCAGTTCTATTTCACTGCTTCATACTCTGACCAGTGTTGTTTTCCTCTCCTCTTGCCTGAAATGCAATATATAAAATACACATATATTGTTTGCTGTTACATCAAATCAATTTTGAATGTTGAACAACAAAACACTGAGAAATAAAGCAAATTTCGGACAGAATAGGGTGAGAGTCACATGCTTCATCCACAAGTTGTTGTTATACAGTGAAAGCTGCCATTTCAGGCTTCAATCCCAAGTTATCTATGCCATTGCTGACAATGCCCCAATATTTTTTACTAACAGAACAAGAATTCTTCCTCATAAGCATTCTTCATTCTTACTCATATTCATGAGATGCTGAAAACCAACACACACTGTATTTTACAGTACTTAAATATGTTGATAGGCTTCAGAACAAGCATGTCTCAGACAGCCCAGGAGATGATGAGTCCATCCTTAGAGTTGCACCTTGGCTGTGTTACCTGGGCCAGAACAGACATAAAAATCATTTCATCCAAAAGCTTTGCAGCAAGCAGAAATGCCTGCAGCAGCTGAGAAAGTTGTAACTGAAAACAAAAAGCTCTACAATCAACCCTGACAAATTCCTCAAAATGCTTTTTCTAAGCAGATTATGTAAATTATTTATGGCTGTGGAGGAGTGGCTGTGTGGCAAGCTTGACTGGAATTAGTTAAGGAATTGGAGGTTTTCTGAAGCTCCTTAGAGCTGAACCACCTTCCCCACTCCTCGATGCTGCTGGGTTACACACCAGTCACTGCAAAACCCTTCTTCCACTTCCAGCTGTGGTACCAGCTCCTGAAGTTTCCTCAAACCAAGGAAGATCCCTTACAAATCCCACAGCATCAAATATTTTCTTTCTTAATGTCAAAATACCTGAATGCTCCAAAATTCATTTGTTTCTATCTTAATGAGGCTGGGTTAAATGAAGGCACAATTCAAAGTCCAAATAAAATCAAAAGTTTAGAAGAATTCAGATTGGAAATACAACCAGGCTTATTTAATATGCTCAGTCTAATGCAAGCATAAACTCCCTTTTCTGAATTGAGCAGCCAAATTTTAGACTTCTATTTAATTTATTTTTATTTAATCCATATCCATAGGATCGCTTTCAAAGGCACAAATTTTGGGTTGAGGGGGTATCACCCTCAGCCAGATTTGCAATTTGCTTGGGGATTCATTCACAACTCCTCTTCCTACTCTTGGACTTGCTCAAAAAGTTATTTTTCTTTCAAAGCTTTACTTATTTGAAAACATAGATTTCGCTTTGGGAGTTCATTTTTTTAATATTTAAATGGGTGAAGAACCAGAAATCCACTGAGCCAGAAAAGTCTCCCCCACCTGTAAAAGCCATGCACAAACCTAAGAGCTGAATAGTTCAAATCAGCCACAGAAAACTTTGACATGTAAACAGAAAATCATACTTTAGAAATCTATAGGCTTTAAACCCATTTATATAGTTAGTGATCCTTAATGATTAATGATTTTGGGCAAGATAGATGGTGCATAATCCTTGCCTTGGATATAACAAAATCAAAGAATTTAAATGCTGAAAGAGAGCTGGCATGTGTAATAAAGTTCATGGTGGTAAAATATTAGGAGTTTTGACAGAGTTGCAGTGTCTGCTAATTTCCATGCCATGAACTACACTAGCAAGCTCTGGGGATCTTTTTATGCTAATGGGATCTGGAGTAGACTGAAATGAAATTCTAAATAAAAATATATATGTATGGGTCATAATGCAGTAACTGTAATAAACACATTTTGAATAAAATTACAGGGGAGAAAAACAAGAAATCCTTGGGCAAACCCTGGAGTGTTATTTGGGTATTTTATACAAACCAAAAAATCCTTTGTACATTTGTGTATTCATGCCATAGAGGCACCATGCAGCAGCACAGCCTTCAAACAGGGACAGAAGTTATCCTTGTGATACAGAATGGTTTTATGTAGGAAATTGAGTCTTTTCCAAAGTCTCAAGTGATCAAAATCAGAACAATTGGTGGCTTAGATTTCAAACAATCCATTTCACCAAAGAGCTCTAACATGATGTATATTCATTATCAAGTCCAGGGGAGTGGGTGCATTTTCAGTGGCTAATAGCCAGTTATTGTGAGCTGATCCACACTGCATTTCTAGACACACAAGTTTCTGCTAGAAAAGTATGTTTATCAACTGGCTGGTCTAATTAATTTACTGCTGCTGCTCTGTAGATGTCACAACACAGAAATTAGATACATACAAGCAGAGTCATTCCAAGTCAGCATTTTCTAGACCGTAAAAAAGTTGGCCTATTCAAACTTTCCCAAGTCAAACACTTAATGCTGATATCCAAGTTACTGGTCAAACCCCCAGGCTTGGTTCACTGAGCACACCAGTGGTGTGCAATTGTAGCCTTGTGGGGGCATTTCAACCCTGCCCTGACATAATCAATAAACCATTCTCCACAAAGAACAAATAGAGTGTTGGAAATGAACATCTGCATCGCCAGGTCAGGCCCACGCTCACTTTTCCAAGTGCAGTGCTGTACACTTTTGTACAAGGACTTGCTGCCCCTGAAGTTATGCTAAGGAGAGGCAAATAAACCCTTACCCAGCAGCTCATGTTACCAGCATGAGCTTTGCTGATGCTCTGATCTGTCAGAGGTTGATTATAATGTCAAGGAATGGATTTCCCTGTGTGGTTTCACATGTTGTCCCTATATCTCTTCTGCCAACTCACTCCTATTTTATTTTCTTGGTCAAACTAGACAATGCCAATCCTGCTGTACTGTTTGACCCTTCAAAATTATCACCAGTCTTCTTGTGGCTATTTTTAGAAAACTAATCTCTGGGGGATTTTAGTGACACTCAGTAGGAACTCTCACACGTTTTCCACTCGTCCTCCCATTTACACACAATAAATTCACAATTCTTCAGCAAATAGAGAATAATTCCTGATTCAAAATAACTGCCTTAAATTTAAAAACCCATGAAGAAACTAGAGCTGACACTGAGGGTTCAGGACCAAGCTCTTCACTCTCATTTACTGTACAGTGTTGTGGGACAAAGAGTATCCCTGCTGAACATTGCTTTCAAAGTGTCTCACCACACTTTGATACTGCAGCTTTTAAAATATAAGGACTAACTTTAAACCACACATATTGTATTTTCCTTTTTGTTACATTTTGAAAAGTGATAGCTGCAAACAATTCTGTTTTCTGATGATATTAGGAGCTGTCCATATTAAAAATTTCCGAGGAGGACTCATCCTTAACAGATTTATTTTTTAAAGAAAGAGACCAATCTAAGAGAAGGCAGGAAGCTTGAGAATGACCTCAAATGCACTAATGAGAGAAAGAAAACAGATCAAGAAGTTAAATTCCATCTCAGAGCTGCATCTGTTTTCAGCAAGAGTAGCTTATGAATTTTTGAAGTTTATACCTATGTGGATAATTAGAGTAATTTAGTCTAGGAAGACGCTCAGGCACATGGAAAATAATTAATTTCTAACCACTCCATGTCATAACTGCATGCTTGTCCAATCCTTCCCAGCAGATACACTCTGTGTTTTCCTGATCCTGCCAGCAAGACAGATAAGATAAATAAGTGAAAAATCAATCCCACAAAAACCAGGTAATATCTCCTTGTATGAGTGACCCAAGCTAGCCAAGAGCAGGAACAAGGAAAGAAAATGGAGGAGGAATGGAGCAGGAGGGCAGTGAATTCCTGACCCTTTCAGGGATGCACTGACTGAGGTTAACCCCCACTCCCCAAGAAACCACATCCTGGTAAAAATAGGCAAAACCATTGTGCAAGGTGGGCATGAACAAAGACATTTTTTATTGTCAGCTCACTGAAAACAAAGAGAGGAAGAATCAAAGAATCTCCTCTTGCAACCTGCAAGTTGCCATGATGATATTTTGGCGCTAACACTGAATAATTCTTGTTTTGACACTCAGCACAACTGACCAGGTATCAGCAAAAGTTCCTGTCATCACATTAGCAGGAACCTCACTCATTAAAATATCACTCATTTTGTGCATTCCTGCAGAAAATCCCAGATTAACATGTTTCTCAAAATTTCTTGGATTTAGAGTTCCTTTGTCTAAAAGAGAGCCTGCACAGCCTTTTAATAGATACTTTAAAAGAAGAACCCTAAAGAAACAGAGAAAGTACTTCACAAAACTCACCAGGCTGATCACTGCCATGGGAGGAGACCTTGGATGTTCTGTTTAAGCCTGGAGTTGATTCCTTCTCACAACAAAAAGTGTTCACACCTGGGAAAAATACTTAGCTTTAGTCTCAAGCTGCTGTTGTGCATCTCCAATACTGCGTGCACAGTGCCACCAATAAATATAATAAAAAGAAGCAATGCACTGGCATACTGTGCTATGACCTCAGAAACACAGCAAGTGAGGTCAAAAGCACAAGAACCTCAGAAATGGGAGAGAAATGCAAGAAGATGGAGGAGGAGCAGCTCTTAGAATGTAAGGGCAAAGAAAAAATTAGAGAAAAAGAAATACAATATGAATTTTAAAAAAAAAACTTAAGGTGTTGCTTTTAGGGAAACTTAAGCTGGGTGAAGAAAGGTAGAATTTCAGTGCCTGCTGTTATCTTCTCCAAGGTGCTCCATATCTGGCAAGGTATTGAAGAAGAGCTGAAATTAATTAATTTTAGTCTTAAGTAGTCAGTGCAATGATGCTACAAGAGAGACACACAACCTTTCTTAATCAAAGCTGGAGAAGTTAATCCCCACACCTGGGGAGATGACATGCTCTCTTCTCAAGTCAAACCAACCTGTTTTCCCATTTATTTAAGTTATTCTCTATTTATGTGTGTATTTAGGTGAGATTTTCACCGTACTAAGCCATAAATACTGAAGGAAAGTGTTTCTGCCTGTTCATAAACATCATATCAGGTGTCAGGGTTGCAATTCAGCTGTCAATAGCCAACACTGAATTGTGATAATAAGGGCAGAATTACATAAAGGAAGTTCTCCTCACTCTTGAATTAGATTATTTCACCTTTGTCTTATTCAAGGGTTTTTCCATTATAAAAAGGAAAAATTCTGACTCCTCTGACAAGTGATAAGGAAAATATGAACATGTTGGATGGGGAAAAAGTGGTTTGTAACACTGGCTGTGTCCCAAAAATCTGTGTGATCTGGAGAAACCTCTGCTCTGCTCTGAGCTGACTCCCCTCACACATATCCCAGAACCAGCAGCCATTCTGCAGCTATAAATAAAGTATACAGAGAGACTCCAAATCTGCCAATAGAGTGTTTGGCAATGACAGTTACCCCTCATTATATTTAAAACAACAACAAAAAAAATCCAAGAATAAGATCCCAAGGAGAGCACAAAAAATAGTGGTAACTGACTTAAAAAGACACCAAGCCTCTCTGAACATCATTTTTAACTTCACAGCATAAAGTTCTTTACTTTAAACTGTTTTAGTTTTTTTAAAAAGTAATGAGGCATTACTTCTGCCAGTAGCAACCACAGTAAAACACAGCTTTCTGAAAAATAGGAAAAGCTTATAATTTTTTTTTATATTTTTTTATAGTGTGTCCTTGGAAAACACCACTCAGTAATTATGCTTGTACTGTTGCATACTTTGTATTGCTGAGGCTCCTTTGTCTGAGCCAGGTGCCTACATGAAGGGAACAGATCCTCAAAAGCACTTAATACCTCACAGCTTCACTAGATGAAGGCATTAGCATCTCTGAAGAAACACTCCCCTGTCTCGTGATTTAACCATACAAAGAAACTTATGCAAATAATTTATGCAGACAAGCTACCAACACCTGCAGAAGGACCTGCCAGCATGACCAGGCAGGTCCTTCTGGTCCTGGAGAATCTGCATTTCTCCTTCCCCCTGCTCCAGCTGGAGGGTCACAGCTGACTAGAAGGAGGCAAAGAGCTTGGGAAAAATCCTGTGCCAAGTGCTCTGAGATGCAGCCAGTCCTTCTAAGGGAGGGAGGGGCCTATAACCAGGTGGACCAGCAAAAAAAGAAAACTAGAAATGTTCGCATTTCACTTGGCAAGTTCTTCTCCATACACCAAGAAATAATTTTGGAGCTCCTTAAAGGATAAAAATGCCTTTTTTAAGGATTAATTTCAGAATTTCAGAGGGCTCTTAAAGGGTTTTAGCATTCTTCCAGCACCACAGGGAAAGCAATAATTAGCTTTTCTCAGCCAACCTGTACTTTTGAGCACTGGAGAATAATGAAGTATTTTCTATATCCCTACCTCCACAAAGTTTATCCTCATCCCTGTGAGCCAGACTCAGCCAGCCTGGCTGCAGGTGGCTGTAGACTTTGCTAATGTTAAGAGAGGTATAGGCACTCCTTTGGGGGGAATTAACTGTGAGACATACTGATCAACTAAGTAATTCTTAACCTTATTCTTTGTGGAACAATTCATTCATTTAAATGGCCCTTATTGCATTAATCCACCTAAAGTGAGTTTCATAACAAACAAGCAGCCACAACCTTTTTCTCTCCTAAATAAAAACAAAACAGAATATGTAGGTACATACATTTTGAAAGCTGATTTTTTTTTTAAAAAGCACCTTTACTAGCAACACCAGGATCAGTGAGAAGCAATACAGAGCACCAGTGAGACAGTATCTGCAGAGCTTTGCTTGGGTGAATTCATTATTGCTTGGCAAACCGAGCGCTTTCCTCAGGAAATATTTTGTCCTTTGGAGTTTTTGATTTAAACACACTTCATTGATGCAGCTTTTTCCTAAGTGTCTCTTTCTTAAAAGCACCTCTGGCAAAAAGCAGAGCATGAAGGCCCAGCAGAGCCAAATAACCCAGGATGAACTTGCAGCCTGTGTGCCCCCTGTTATATCCCCAGGGGACAAGGGCAGGACGAAGGTGAACACCACCTTGGCTGCGTTGTCCTTGGGGAATCACAATTTGTAGGGGGAGAAAACCCACCAGGAGATCTGTACTGTCAATTTCTGTCAATTTTCCTCAGTTAAGATCAAAGCTGTCCAGTTTTCCCAGGGAACCCAAACCAGCCACTCACCCACTTCTCTCCTTCACTTTTAAGTGCTTTGTTGCCATCAGAGATGTAATTCCTGACACCTGACCTACAGGGCAGCCCATCCCACCCTCATCTGTCCCATCACATTAATGAGTGTGATGCCACAGCAGGTTGGAGTCTGTCTCCACACTAAGTATGGGCTGGAACCATGAGGCAGACAGGGTAAAAACCCTAAATATTTTCTATTATGAACATCAAATAATGGATAGAATCTTAGATCTCCTCTAAGAATAAAGCTCATGGGGAAAGAGTACAACTGTGTGATGTAAGATATGTAAATCCATCTAGGTGAAAGACATGAATTTTGTGCCTTGGATGTTTAACACACTGAGGGAATTCATCCAGACCATGTAGACCTGACAATGCAATATCTGAGTTGGTGTAGTTTCAAAAAAAAGCATCCACGCAGTGAGGGAAACCTCAAGGTTTTGGAGTTTTTTAACAAGGAATTGGAGCTTTTAACAGTGAAGGTCCTCAGGGCTATCAGCTCCCTGCTCATCCAGGGCAATTTTAAAGTCAGTTGCCTGATCCTGCAGGTCACAGTCACAGGGAGTCCCACTCCTGGTCACTGTCACCAGTGACAGGGAGCCCAGACCTCTGCACAGGGTCTGGGTACCCCCTCTGTTTCTGGTCACCTGAGTCTGCAGAGCAGAACAGCATCCTTTAGGCTTGACAAAAATCAGAGGCAAGATCAGAAAGGGAAGGAGTTTATGTGGTTAAGCTGAGTGTGAACACCAGAGAGGTTGGACCTAAATATCAGTATAACCTATTTCCTTCCAAGGATGTATTTCTTGCCCACTGAATGATCAGTTAATCCTCCTTTTTATTCTCCTCCCTTCAGTGAAACTCCCAAGTTATTGCAGGTGTTATCCAGGGACACAATATTCACAGTTCCATTTGCTTATGTTTTACTGCTCCCATTAAAATTTGTACAAAGTTTAGAGACTGAACTTGAATTGTGCCCTTACTGCAAGCAGCTTGAACCCCTTAGTTCTTCACTTTCATGCTACAAAATGAAGATTTTCTCCAGAACTCTCTGAATGAGAAATGAATCCGTTGCATCATTTCTTTTCCTTTTTATTTTTTTCCTCTCTTATTTTTCTTTCCCTGTGTCCCCAGCCTTGCCTTTTACATACCTTTCAAACCTCAGCATATGCATATACCTCATTTTGGGCCCATCTTGACTTGCTAATATCATATGCAATCCATGCCTTCCATCTCACCAAAGTGAATGCAGTAAAAGAGCAGAATGATTTTTTCTGAGATGTCATGTAACACAAGATATGCAAACTGTCTCTGATTGGAAAGAAGAGATTATTTTTCCTGTCAAACACATATGCTTTATGTACACTGCTTGTTAGAACAATGTTCAACAAACATTCCATTTTTAAAGGCTAGAATATGCCGAAAATGAGTTTTGCATGCAAAATCTTCACATATAAGAAGAAAAATTGGAGTACTACACAGTGCATTCTGTTATCAGGATTGAACATGGGCAGCAAGAAGGTTCCAAGGGGAAGTGAGCAGTGAAGACTGCCAAGTTTGTCTGCAGAATTTTGGGTTTGCCCTTTTTTTATAATGACCTGTGTGGTGGGGAGGGAGAGGACACGGCGGCAGTGCCAGCCCTGGTGCCAGTGCTAAGAGGAGGGAGGAGCTGTTGTTGGGACACAGCAGCTCTGTGCAGACTCTGTGATATCCATAGGATTTAGCCAATCTGTTCCTGCAGATGCCAGTTTTATGCATGATTTACCTGGCTTGATGCAGCTCCTGCACCAGCTCTGCCACTTCCCAGGCTGGAAAGCTGCAGCCCCTGAGCTGCCAGCGCTGCTCAGAGCATCCACTCAGCCCTCTGCTGCTCCAGAAAAGGGAGAAGGCCTCCAGGATTTTGATCTGCTTTGTTTTAGTTGATGTTTTTTTTGGGTTTTTTTTTCCTTTTTTACTGTGAGCATTTCTGTATATCTCTGAATGTTTGCAAAATTTTTTTAATTTTTTTTTTTAATTTTCTATTTTTCCTCCAGATGGGCTTCTACTAAAGACTACAAGTAAACCAAGGAAAACACATATGAAAAGAGTCTTTTGAGCCAGACAGTGGGACAGCACATACACTTGTCATCCCTCCATGAAGCAGTGGCTATTAAAGATGTAATATTTCCACTAGATCTCAGTTGCAGTAGAACAACTGACTCCAGGTGAGCTTATGCAGCTGACCTTCCATAAGCATTTTCAATACCCTTCAAAATATCACATTATTTACCAGTTGTGGGAAAGTGTTCTTTAGTAAGGAGTACAAAGCAATCACAGTGGCTTTGGAGATTTTAAAGGTTTCCTAAGGAGCCACAAGTGTCTGTAAGATGCCCTTGGGGCTTCTGTTTTACACTGTGATTGTGCAGTGTTTTATTTCTGTCATAAAGTGCATACAAAGGGAAAAGGAAAGAAGTAATCTCCTACAGCTGGAAACCAAATTACAAGACTCTCTTATAATAAGGAGAGATTTTCCCCAAAGTGACTCAGTGGGACACTGAGGCTTTGAATTTGATCCTACCTAAATGAACAGGAAAAAAATTCCATTGACTTTAGTGGTAGAGGATCAAACTCCAAAGGAGCTATTTAAAATATTATGCAGGTGATGTATGAGTGTGGTTTCATAGATGTTCATTAAGAGTCTTTTTATCCCCTCCTCCCCTCTGAAAATGCTGCAGAAATATTATCAAGTTCTGTGATTACTGATATGCCAATGGCATCTCTGAGAGAGCAGCGTTTCTGTTGAGGTACTGACTCAGAGGTGCTTTATATTAACAGGAGTTCACAAATAAGGTTTTGTTATCTCTGCTCCTGGCAATTGTCAGGGCACAAGGAAGCATTGTTAACATTCCTGCAATCAGCAAATAAAACACAGCACCTCAGTGAGTCGGTGCCTTCAGGATCCAGCATCATCCCTAATTCCAGTTCCAAACAGTTTCCTTCTAATCTACCTTTTAGCACTACTTCCAGTAAAGAAGGAATTAATATGGTGAGAAAGCAGAGTTCCTGAGAAGGACTCTCTGGCTTCTTGAATCCTCTTTGAAGTAGAAAAATAATAAGTAATGGTACTGGCAGCACATTACATTGGTGTGACTCACATTTAGGAGATTCAGCTTCTATGACTGATTTTACAGAAGTCAATATTTCCTACTTTGCCTTTTACTCTTTCCTTCATGAATACCACGTGAAAAACCTGGACTTAATCTCAAATGCAGAGGAAAGAGGAATTTTTCAATTATTAAGGATGAATATGAGTATTGTTTAAATTAATGCAATGACAAAATGTTTGTAATCCACCTGAATTTTGCTTTTGTTTTTGCACTAAAGTGAAGCTGCTTGCAGTCACCTGCCTCAGGGTTATACTCAGAAGTATATTTGAAGGAAGGAATTATAACTCATGAGTTAAATTTTTCAGTCTCATTCCAGTTACCCAATGTCCTGAAAGGACTTGGATTTGTCCTGATGCCTCTTTAGCAGTAGGTTAATTTATTAACAGATAGGTTAATTTATTAACAGATAGTTAATGAACTGCAGCACCAGGGTTTAGCTCCTTAGAGTATTTTGGAAAGTCACAACTGTTTCATTGTAAGGCCAGATCCAGAAAATGCTGATGTTAATCTTCCTCCTCACTAGAAGAGACTTTAGAAAATGTTTAACAGGAGTCAAAAGTTGATATGAGAGAAATTATACACTGGGTGATTAACTGTTAAAAGAAGAAATGAGATAAAACAGCTAAAGACTTGTCTTAAGAGACTCCTATGGGAGAGTATCATCCTTAAATAAAAACAGTTAAGAACTGGTCTTCTAATTTTGTTGTAGTTGCTCAAGCTTTACTCTTTCCACAAAGAGAACTTTTAGTTTACAAGGTAGGGTATAACACTGAAATATGGGATAAACCTGTCAGCTTCAGGACAACTGATGAAGCTAAATAAACATTGAAGGGCAGGGAAAAAAAAGAAAAAAAAAAAAAAAAAAAAAGCCTTTTAAAAGTATTCTGGACATCCAAAGAAGATAATGATTTTGTAATTCAGTTTCTTAACAAAATCTGCTAATACCCACATTCCTGTAAGCTCTGAAGTGCTGCTTTCATACAGACAGGCAAGTCCAGTCTGCCCTAAGCTGGGCTGATGCTTTCCAAGGCATTTCAGTGAAACTCAATCAGATCTCTAACAAAAGGAGCTGCAGTGGCTGTTTGACTCCTGGCAGTGGCTTTATCACTCCCTTCTCTTTTGTGGCCACCTCTCTGCAGCCCTGAGCTCGTCACTGCCAGTCTGCTGCTGGGGTCTCGGGTTTTTCACTCTCCTACTTAGCAGAGTTTTAGCTCAGTGCTTTGAATCATTGCTTATGGGATCCTGAGATATTTTAAATATTAACTAAGGGCTGTGGGTGTGCACAAGTTAATGGCTGTGATGCTTTGCTGCTCTCAGGTGGGTGGTCTGGTCTCTGCCTTTCCCATCGCTGTGGTCCCTCATCCCTCCTGCCAGCTCTGCTCCCTCTAGGCTTCTCTGTGAGCTTGCTCTGTTTCACCTTGCAGGAAAATGTCTGCAGGGCAGCAAAGCTGGTATAAAATACACAGATGGAGGATGTAACCAGGAGCAGAGGATGGGAAGATCAGGGTCTCCCCTTTCTAGCAACAATAAGCTCTTCTGTCAGCTCACTGCCTCATGCTCACAGGCATCTAATGGGTGCTGTAATATCTTTCAGTCTGCTCCTTTCTAAAGCTGTGCTTTATTAGGGTTGGAAACAACCTGCACAGCAGAGCAGCCTAAAATTGATGTGCTTAGTGTAAAGCTGCCAAGGGGGAGACACAGCGCGTCCCCAGCAGAGCCACTCGGAGCTGCCTTCAGCCAGAGCTCTCCATTTGGAGTCATTAATGTCACACACTCCTCTGCAGGGACCTCAGCTGGATTCCTGGAGGAGTGCAGTGAGAGCTCACATGATTATTATTA